ATATGGCTGGCGCCTTAGCCGCTTGAGCCACAGGCGCCGAGCCTACAGCCTTGATCTTAAACTGTCCCCAGACATCTCTTGTGAGAGTTAGCAGCAGTTCAATGCAGAGCAACGAGTTGTCAGAAGACAGAATGCTTTTTTCCTCTCTTTTCTAACACCTGGGCACAGCTCCTTCTGCCAGGTATGTAGGCTCTCAGGACTTGGCAATGAAGACCATACTATGAGGTCTTCCCACCAGGTCCTTCCCACCAGTCTGACTTTACTTCCTTTGTGTCTGCTTTGCCTTTAAAGTGCTAATCCTGGAGTGCTCTGTCCCTCCCTCCTGTCAGACACAGGTCCTGACATCCCTCCCATGCTGTCTTCTGCCAGTAGGACTAGCCCTCCCCCTGCTGCCTCCTTGGGCCTTACACTGCACTTGCCCCCCCACCATAACCATGGATCGATCCAAGGACACCCTAGCAGACAAAGCCATCCCTCCCAAAGTTCCCAGTGAAGGCCCAGTGGCCCCCTCAATGGGAAGAGCCTTGGAAGCCTCTACAGCCTTTGTTCATTTCTGCAGAAGTGCTCAAAGTGAAACTGAAGCCCAAACTACAGTATAAGCAACCACAATCCTTCCCCCAAATAGCAGTTGAATCTCCTCAACCATAACTAGCAAGAAGGGAAATTTTGTGCTCCTCCTGTGCAATCTGTCTCACCCTCTCTAGTTGTTGAAATGCAGCGTCTAGTCCCCCTTGCCCTGTCAATTTTTAGCTGATGTGGCTGCTGTGTGATTTCTGGGAAGTCCCTATCCTCTGGACCTCAATTTCCTCATGTGAAGAGCAACCACCGTCACAATAACTGCAGGCTCGCCGTCTACTGCTGGGAACTGGTGCCTCTTCCATAATACTCTGACAAGGTAGGTTCTTCATTTATTCCCCCCATTTTACAGATAAAGAGAGAAATAGGCAACTTGCCCAAGGTAACTGAGCCAGTTAAGTGGCTAGTCTATGGATGGAACTCAGCCTGCCTCTCAGCCACCTTCTAACTTCCGGCCCTCCACTGGGCCGTGATACGGGGGAGAAGAGGTTTGCCCAACTGCCCTGGTCTCCTCAGGGTCTAGCTGGGGCCTGGCACACAGTCGTTGCACAGAAAGGGTCAGCTAGGTTGGGAAGGGGACCATTTCTGGATGGCGCAGCTGGAGGTCTGGTTCAGCTCTGTGCTGGAGACAGGAGGGTGCTCGCACCGAGTCTTAACCTCTTGGACCCCAGGCCTGCAAACTGGAGCCCGCACGAGGGGAAGCAGCTTCGCTAACGGCTGGGCTCACAAACGCCAAGAGCGCGCCACAGGAAGGACACAGCCAGGAGACGTCAGGGGCTCAGCTGGAGAGTCGAGCGTCCCAGGGAGGGGCAGAAGGTGGGATGGGATAGGATGGGGTGGGGCGTGTTCCGCCCTGGCCCCGCCCCGCCACTGGGTATTCGAGCTCGAGCGCGCCCGCGCCCGCGCACACGCACGCACGGGAGGGGCACGCGCCGGGATTACGCGGCCAACCACGAGGCGAGGGCGGGGACAGCGCGCGCCGGCTCCGAGATAAACATGGCCACGTGACCGCCGCCCCGCCCCCGCCCGGTAAACAAGCTCGCGGCTACCCCTCGTGAGCCCCTGGGGGGTGGGGAGGGCACCAGCAGGTGGAGGACCCCACCCCCACTCTCAACCGGCCTTCGGCTGGGGTACTTGGGCGTGGGGAGCTGCGGGAGTAGGCGGGTGGAACAACCCACGGACCCCGCATGGCCGAGCCAGTTCCCATTCCTCACTCTAATTTAAAGTTACCCAAAAGAGAAGCACTAGGTGGGCTCAGGTCCAGACTGTGGGGTGCGGCCTTGCTCAAGTGACTCACTGTTCTGTGGCCACATCCTCAAGTGGGGATACCAATCATCCTTGTTGCTTAGGATTGTTGTGAAGATGGGATATGTTAAGTAAAGCACTTCCGTCAGTGTGGTACATAATAAAAGCAAATAAGCGTGGGTTAATTCAATTTTGAAAGCCTAGAGTGCATAAATCTGCAACTCCCAGCCCCAGTCTCAGGGAGGAATTAGCTCCTCCCCTGCCCCCTGGCCGGGTGTTAACAAATCTCATCCGGTCTCAGGTAGTCTTCAGCAAGGCCCAGGGGGATTAGGGCCTCAATTTTACAGGTGGGCAGAGAGGAGGCAGAGAGGTCGAAGGTTTTGCCCTGGGTCACACGGCTGGTATAAGTGCACAACCAGAATTGAAAAGCAGGGAGGTGTGGCTCCAAAGCCTGGGCACTTCCCACTGAACTTCCCAAAAGGCTCATAAGAGACTCCTGGTCACAAAGCTGGCTGTGTATCACAGAAGTAGGCCAGCTGTATGGCCCTAGGTAAAGACTCTTCTCTGCTGTGGGCTTCAGTTTCTCTATCTGTAAAATGAGTCACTAGGAGGCAATTAAATTAGCCAATGCCTGGCTCATAATAAGACCTTACTGACTGGCCTGGAGGATGCAGCCAGTCCAACCACCTATTCCTGCCCTCTTTCTCAGCCTCTTCCTCATCAAGTTCTCCTGAGAAGGGTGGCTGAAGACAGCTGGCTCCCCTGCTTCTTCTGAGACTGACTTCTGTCTTCCTCCAAGAGAGGAGACAAGTGTTGACCATACTTGCCTTGTGCCCATACCATGGTGGCACCGTGGATGGCATAACGTGGGCACCACACGGCATATGTTGGGAGTTAAAGTTTTGTGATGACCCACTCCTCTCTAGGCCTCAGTTTCTCTATCTGAAAAATGAGAGGACTGATCTAAATAATTTCTAGGGATGCTTTGAACTCCTCTGAAGAGTGGAATACCCTAGGTCCCCTTCCTGGCTAGGGTAAACAAAAGCAGAAATACAATCTAGATGTCTGTCTAACTTTGCACTAACAGCAAATGTTTACTAAAGCCCTTGGTCTGGGCTGAGCATGCATCAAGAAGCTTACATCCATCATCTAATCTGCACAACAGCCCTGCAAAAGAGGCTTCATTAACCTAACGTGAAGACAGGGAACAGAGGCCCAGCCACACTGGGGACCTGCCCAAGGGTTCACAGCTGTTGGGTGAGCTCCCAGGCCTGGAACCCAGACCAAAGCAGGTGGGACAGAAGGCCTTCAGTCAAACAGGGTTTCCAGAACCATTAGGGGTCACCTGGCGGTCATCCTGAAGACCCATCTGGTGGTCTCAGCATGTTAAGAATCCAATGGGCCTCTAGGCCAGGGGCACAGGCCACCAGGAACATGGTGAACTCTGCTCTTGGAGCCCTAGTTCCTTCCCTTCTGACTAAAGTTCTGGTCGGCAGATGTACTCACATCTAAGAACTCCTCATTAATAAGGACCTCTGTTTAGAGAAGGAAAACTTTCAAAGGATAGAGCCTCTGGAGGAGGAAAAATAGCCAACAGTGCTTTGAAGGCCAACAAGCTGGTAACCACAGCTGGAACTCGATGTCCCAGTGCAGAAGCTAAGAGCTGCGCCCAGAGCCTCAGCTCTCCCACTGCCCACCCTGGGCAGCTCCCTTTACTGCCCTGTTCACCCAGACCAAAAGTCTACCTTTGATCAGCCTGAGGCTCCTCCTTTAGCCCCCAAGGGTATTTGGGAAGAAAGAACAGTTGTTGCAGTGGAAGTGAGGGTGGAGGATCACATTATCTACATGCCAGCCACTTACCCCAGTCCTCAGGATACCTGAAGATCACCCTGAACATATATGCCAAGGCCTTTCACCCCACAAGGCTAAGTACCCTATGAAAGGAGAGATGGGTGTGGGTCTACTGAACACTGAACCCATTTTGCAGAGAGGGAAGCTGAGGCACTATGGGCTGTCTTCCCCTCTGCTGTCTTTCCGTCATCCCCCAGAAGCAGGACCCAATACTAGGTCAGCTTCCAGTACCAAAACAGAAAATTCCTGTCTCAACAGCTTGGTGCACAGGGGGTTTCCAGGAATCAGTCTCCCGGAGGCAAGGCAGGGAGGTGGGGCACCCACAGGCCAATGAGGAAGCCCCAGGATTAGCTCGGTCCCTCCCCCTCCCAACAACTCCCTGCTGGGAGGTGATTAGTTGGTCTGCACTCCGGATTGGGCCTCAGCAGGAGAGGTCCTAGCTCCCTGCCCCCAACTCTGAGAGGGAAGCCTAGGGGGGCACAAAGGAGTTACCTGAAGACAGAAAGGCCTAGTTCAAGTCCCAATTCTGCCTCCATTTGCTGTGTGACCTAAGGCAAGCTGCTTATCCGCTGAGCCTGTTTTGGCATTATCTAGAGAGAGCATGATCACACCTAGCTCACATGGCTCTATGGCAATGGTTCTCAACCTTCCTAATGCCACAACCCTTTAATACGGTTCCTCATGTTGTGGTAACCCCCCAGCCATAAAATTATTTTCATTGCTACTCTATAACTATAATTTTGCTACTGTTATGAATCTTAATGTAAATATCTGATATGCAAGACAGTCTTAGGTGACCCCTGTGAACGGGTTGTTCGACCCCCAAAGGGGTTGCAACCCACAGGTTGAGAACTGCTGCTCTATGGGAACCTACTCTGTAGGTCCTGCTAGGCACTGAGGATTCCTGCTCCACTGCTGGACTCCCCTTGTGCACCCAGCACTGTACTTACTGTGGCTCAGGGCCCCCTCCTTCGGGCCAGCAGCCATCTCTGATGTGGAGATGCTGGGCCTTCACCTCTCAGGTTCCAGAAAAGCAGAAGGAAAGGAGGGGAGAAGGGAGGGAAGAAAGGAAAGGGAGGAGGTGGGAGAAACTCCAACTAGAAGATGGGTCCCAACACTGAGCGGGCAGATTGAGAAGAGAAACTAGAGACCCACCTTGAACCTCCAGGGCTCCAAGTCCCTCAGCTAGCAGAGCAGAAACCAAGGCCCAGGAAGACAATAATTTAATCAAGGCCAGCTGTCCAGTTACTAGAGCAGCTGGAGCTATAAGCTGGCCAGGGAAGGGGGAGGCACAGGTAGACAGACACACACACACAAAGGAGCCTTACTTTGGGGGCCATCCTTTCCACTTCACCAGATATTCGACTTTACCCTGCGAAGAGAAAGAACCAGACACAGTGAGACCCCCTAATTGCCCCTACAACCACTCACAGGACAGTATAGCCCAAAGGACCTCATCCCCAAATCCCCTCCGCACACAAGTGTTCCCCAACACATAAAGGATAATCCAGGGACCTGCCATCCATCAGATCCTCACAAATCCAGAGAACCCAAACTTTGGCTGATGCACAACCACCCCTGACTGCCCTCCCCACTAGCACACAGGACAGCATCTGGTGGCAAACACACCTGAGCCTCCAGTGGCCCAAGCCCAGAGCTTTTGTCACATGGGGGACACTGAGACCACATGGCGGGGGGCATGTATGCATGGCCAAAAATCCATAGAGTCCCAGTGCCAAGATCATAACACTTTCCTCTTTAGACTGGAAGACTCTCCAAATCCTAGAAAATTCCTCCCTAGGATGTTCCTGGATTCTCCTCCCTGTGAGCTGAGTCTCTGGGAAAAGCAATGGGCCAGAGACTTTAGAACTCTCAACTCAAAAGATCCCCATATGACCCACAGGAGACTGAGAAAGTATCCACCTTCAGAAAGGCAGTCCTCCAATTGTTAGAAAATAGACCCAGGCTCCGCCAACATGGTCCCTTTAAGGTCCAATTGCATTCAATAGATGAAGCCCCTCTATGCCAAAACTCTAAAGACCAAAACATGACACCTTTCCAAAGAGGCCTTCCAAAAGTCAGCCTTCCCTGGCTGACTTTTCTGATGCTGTCCCTCTCTGGCACCTTACAGTTCTATTTCTGTAGGGCACACAGCTCCATCTGAAGGCATCTGTCTTTATTTCTCATTCATTGTATCTCCCTCTGCAGAACACCAGCTCTCCGAGGGAAGGAATATATCCTTGGGGCTTAGAATTATGTCTACTACACAACAGATCCTCAATAAATGTCTTAAGTCACTGGTTGAAGGAATAAAGATCCTCGATCTCATCAGATCTCCGATTTGGGGGTGGGGCAGGGCCGTGGTAATCTCTGTACCTGCTTCAGGCTACACTTGGAAAGCACAGACCTTTGTGGAATAAATTAGACCTCTATTAAGACACAGAAACCCTGGGGGATGAAGGAAGAAAGAGGGCAGCTCCAATCATAAACACAGCTGAATCCCAAGCCAAGTTGGGAGAAGAAAAGACACTCAGGACTCACTTTGCCCTTCATCCATGGCACGAGACACCAGAACTAAGTCTTCTCTATGGAAAGAAGATGGACTGGCAACCAGCCCACATGAGCTCCTGCTCTACCTCTACCTCTACCCCTACCTTGCTGGGTGACCTTGAGCAGGCTACTTCCCCTACCCAGTTTCTGCCTCCATCAAATTCGAGGAGGTTGATTGCTAAGGCCCCTCCAGCTTGCCCCTGTAGCCTCCCAAGGGGCTGTGGAGAGAAGAGAGGGAAAAGGACAGTGGTGAGTGCCAGAAGAACTTTTCCCTAAGGACTTCCCTAAACCCAGCCTCCAGGTTTGGGTGAGCCCATTCCACAAACGTGCTTAGGACATGTAGATGCCAGGCCAGGACAATCAAAGTCCAGCTCGGAAGTGCTGGTCCTGAACCCAGCAGGACGGAAGTCTCCTTAAACTGCAGGGTGTTAAGTGAAGGCAAAGGCAGACGGGGAGGAGCTTCAAGGATGCCCTACACCGGAGCGGGGGGATAGAGAGATGGGGCTGGAAAGAGGGGGTTGAGGGTGTAAGCGGTAGGGATCTGAAAAGGTCAAAGTCCAGCAGGAAAACTTCAGAGGCAAGAGGAGACTCTTTCAAAGGTCTGCTTCCAATTTCAAAGGACTTGGTGCCAAGAGTCCAGAGTCCCGAGTTCGAGACCCAGCTCTGACAATAACACACTGGACAAGTCGCTTCAACTTCTGTCTCCGCCTCCCCATATTTAGAATGAAAAGGGGATGAAGGAGGATGGCGCTCGGAATCCCTACATTCCGACACTATTTCCAGCTCAGGCGGGTTCAGCAGTCTCCAGCATCCCGGGGCGACAACTTTTATTCTACTTGCCTCATGGCGACAGGGGAAACTGAGGCACGAGCTGGGGAAACGAGCCCAGCAGCTCAGGGCTGCCTGGGCCCCCAGCCCCACCTTCCCTCTCGTCCCCAGAGCATGGGAGGCGGTGCTGGGGACAAGAGAGGACCTCACAAGGGTTCTGGGAGCGCCCCCGGGCAGCCTCACCTTCCGCACGCGCTTCTTCCGGATGCTCTCCACAGCGAACACCTGCTCGCCGATGGCTGACAGCTCCATGCGGGGAAGCGGGCGAGCGGGCCCGGGGCCGGGCCTGGCCGGGCCGGGGGCGGAGCTGCGGGGCCGCGGCTACGGCGCGCGATGCTGGGGCCGGCGGGGTCCCAGTCACCCTCGTCTGGGCGCGCACGCGCACGCGCACGCGCGCACACCCCCTCGCGCTGCCTCACGCCGCCGACGTCCCATTTTTGAACCTGCGCAACGTTTTCCTCCTCGCCGGCGAGCGCGCGCGGGAGGGGGCGGGACGGGAGCGCGCGGGCCGGCCGGCCGCCGGCTAAGCTCGCGCCCTACAGGTCAGCCCCGCCCCCCACGTTCGAGCCCCGCCCCGTAGCCCCGCCCCCGCCCCGCCCCGCCCCAGCCAAAGACCAAGCTGTGTGCTGGGAGGTGTGGACCCGACTTGCTTAGCTTAGGCGCCGGCGTGCACCTGGCTGACGCTCGCGCGCCCCCTCTCGCCACTCGGCACCAGGGTGGGGACGTGATCTTTAACACCAACATGCAATTCCTAAATCTTGCCGGTGTCTTTGAGGAGCCGATAAGGCGTGGCCCTAGGAGGGCAGGTGAGAAAGCAGAAGTTAAGAGCGGGGAGGTCATTTTCCTCACCTTCCAAAACGAAGGATACAGAGGCCTGGCCGCAGATTCTAGAGCTGTTGTTGGGTCGGGACCGAATAGGTTTCCCACCCCGTCGAGGCGTCGCAAGTGCTTGTGCTGAGCAAGTGTTTCTACGTCTATCTGTTCATGGATCCAACCTAGACGGCTGTAAGACGCTCGGGCTAGACCCGGGCACCGCCTCCAGGGCTCCCAGGCTGGGCAATTTGCCGCGGGCGCGGCAGCTGTGGCGATAAGGTGCCCGCGAGGATAGAGTCTGCTGGTACGCTGCCTCTAGGTACCCCCCCCAACACACACACACCGACGCGCCCGGCACTCGGTACGTTGTATAACAGGTGTTCAACTATTTGTAGAATCAATGGCTCTTGAGATGCCATAGGAAGTCATCACCCCCCGCCACGCCCAGAACCCTCTTCTGTTGTCGACACAGCGCCGCACTTCACCCTTCCGGCCCCAGGGCCGTCTTGCCCCTTCCACCCCCTCCCGCTGCCTACGTGGATTCCAAGTCCGGGCTCCTGGCCTCCTCAGTGACTCAGGGCTGCCCTTTCCTCACCTCCACTTCCAGTGCCCGGCCTCATCCCTTGTCTGTTTTTGGGCCAGCAGCAACGACCTTCTCACGAAGCTGCCATCCCATCCGATCTTTGCCCAGAGCGGCAGAGAGCTCTTTCTGAAATGCATATCGGACTGGGTCACCCTGTGCTTAAAAACTTTCCATAGTTCTCTACTTCCCTCAGAACAAAATTCAAACGCCTTTCTCTGGCACACAGAAAAAGAAAATAGATTAACGCCTGACTTTTTAATCAAAAGCAACAGAAACCAGAGATAAAATAACCATCATCCTAAAATTATATAATCCGGTGAAACTAATAAGAATTATGTACCTAGTATAGGGTGACCAGACGTCCCGCTTTTTAACAATTTGTCCTGCGTCCTGGGGCGTTTTTAAAAAGTCCGGATTTGAACGGGCTGGAGAACAGGAAGGGAATATATGGGTTTTGGCTGCCGTGTGGCTATTTCGCCAGAATATGAGTTTTATATTACTTTTGTTAATTTTATAATGTTAAACTGTAATAATAACAAATAATTGTTGAGAAGTGATTATCAAGAACTGCTTATCAAAGTTTGCATTGTTGTCAGACCCCGCCCCGCCCCGCCCCGCTCCCCCATGTTGTCCTGCTTTACAAATCTTAAAATCTGGTCACCCTAACCTAGTAGGAGGTACATGTTATGCTTCCAGAATGAGGTGAAATTATAGCATTTACAAATATAAAAACTAAGAGTTTGGGCTTGGCGCCCGTGACTCAAGCGGCAAGGCGCCAGCCACATACACCTGAGCTGGCGGGTTCGAATCCAGCCCAGGCTCCCCAAACAACAATGACGACTGCAACCAAAAAATAGCCGGGTTGTGGCGGGCGCCTGTAGTCCCAGCTACTTGGGAGGCGGAGTCAGGAGACTCGCTTGAGCCCAGGAGTCGGAGGTTGCTGTGAGCTGTGATGCCACAGCACTCTACCCAGGGCAACAGCTTGAGGCTTTGTCTCAAAAGAACAAAACAAACAAACAAAAAACTAAGAGTTTACACTAGCAGACCCTCCTTAAGGGAAACTCCAAAGGAGGAATTTCAGGCAGGAGGAAGATAATCCCAGACTGTTATAATAGGGAATAGAGAAATGAATGAAAAGCATTGATAATGTAAAACAATATAATGTTTTCTGGATAAAAATAGATTAAAATGCACAAACACAATGGCATGTAAAGTGTTCTAACATTCTTATATTCTTCAGGAGGGAGGTGAAGGTAAATATCAAATACACTTAGACTTTGATGAGTTAAGAATTCAAGTTGTTGGCAGGATGTAGTGGTTCACACTTGAAATTCCAGTACTTTGGGAGGCAGAGGCAAGAGGATTGTTTGATGCCAGGAGTTCATGACCAGCCTGGGTAACTTAGGCAGTGCCCATCTCTATGAAAAAATTAAAAAATTAATCAGGTATGGTGGTGATGTATATCTATAGTCTTAGCTACTTGAGAGGCTGAGGTAGAAGGATCACTGGAATTTGAGGTTACAGCGAGCTATGATTGTATCACTGCCCAGTGAGAAGAGTGAGGGGCAAGACCTTGTCTCTGAAAATTAAAAAAAAAAAAGTCCAGTTGCTATTACTGAGATAAACACCATAAAATGGAAATGCAGTGTATATTTATTAGAGGGCAAGTAGATGATATGAATTCTTTTTGGGGGGGCAACAGGAGCCTCAAGCTGTCCCCCTGGATAGAGTGCTGTGGCATCACAGCTCACAGCAACTTCCAACTCCTGGGCTCAAGCGAGTCTCCTCCCAAGTAGCCCCAAGTAGCTGGGACCACAGGTGCCCACTACAATGCCTGGCTATTTTTTTTTTTTTTTTTGGTTGCAGCCAACATTGTTGTTTGGTGGGCCTGGGCTGGATTTGAACCCACCACCTTGGGTGTATGTGGCTGGTGCCTTAGCCACTTGAGCCACAGGCACCGAGCCAATGATATGAATTCAAATTCAAATGTTCTATAATTCAATAAATGCAACTGGACTAAATGTTGTAGTTAAAATAAAAAGATTAGGCTCGGCGCCTGTGGCTCAAGCGGCTAAGGCGCCAGCCACATACACCTAAGGTGGCGGGTTCGAATCCCCAGCCCGGGCCTGCCAAACAACAATGATGGCTGCAACCAAAAAATGGCCAGGCGTTGTGGCGGGCACCTGTAGTCCCAGCTACTTGGGAGGCTGAGGCAGGAGACTCGCTTGAGCCCAGGAGTTGGAGGTTGCTGTGAGCGTGATGCCATGGCACTCTACCCAGGGGGATAGCTTGAGGCTCCGTCTTAAAAAAAAAAAAAAATACAAAGATTATCAGACTGCACACAATCATACTGTAGTCTGGACCACAAGAGATGGGTTCAACACATAAGAATAATGGAAAGTCAAAAGTAAACACATGGGCTGGGTGAGATGGCTCACACCTGTAATCCTAGTGTTGCAGGAAGACGAGGCCCAGCGGAGAGAAAGAGCACCCAAATACCACGTTTATAAGAGGAAGGTCTAAAAAGCTGCTTTTAGTCTAGCACTCTGAGAGGTTAAGAGGTTGACGCTGGTGGATTGCTTAAGATCAGGAGTTCCAGACTACCCTGAGCAAGATCCAGACCCCTGTCTCTACTAAAAACAGAAAAAACTAGCTGAGCATCATAGTGGGAGCCTGTAGTCTCAGTTCTCAGGAGGCTGAGGCAAGAGAGGATCCCGTGAGTCCAGAAGTTTGAGGTTGCTGTGACCTATGATGACACCACAAAACTCTCTCTACTCAGGGAGACAAAGTGAGACTCTGCCACAAAAGGAAGGCAAGTGTAGAGGTAAGGCAGAAAATGAAATAGGCAGAGAGGCTGAGGCAAGAGAATCGCTTGAGCCCAAGAGTTTGAGGTTTCTGTGAACTGTGACGCCACAGTACTCTACCAAGGGCGACATAGTGAAACTCTGTCTAAAAAAAAAAAGAAAGAAAAAGAAAGAAATAAAATGAAATAGGAGCAACAAAACCAAAAATTATTTTTATGAATAGACCAATAATAGGGACAACCCCTGGTGAAACTGATTAAGAAAAAAAGAGAGAAAACACAACTAAAATCAGGAGTGAAAAGCTAAGAAATCTGCAGATATTTTATTTTATTTTATTTTTTGAGACAGAATCTTTGTCACCCTGGGTAGAGTGCTGTGGCACCACAGCTCACAGAAACCTCAAACTCTTAGGCTTAAGTGATCCTTTTGTCTCAGTCTCCCGAGTAGCTGGGACTACAGGTGCCAGCTACAATGCCAGGCTAGTTTTTCTATTTTTTAGTGGAGATGGGATATTGCTCTTACTCAGGCTGGTCTCGAACTCGTGAGCTCAGGCAATCCACCTGCATTGGCCTCCCAGAGTGCTAGGATTACAGGCATGAGCCACTTTGCCTGTCCTAGATGGATGATCTATTGTGACAAAATGCAGGGACACAGAAAGGTGGCAAAGCCTTGGACAGACCCTGTAGGGCGAGGAGCCACACGTGATCAAAACACATGGCTAACTTGCTCAATGTCATGAATAGTGCAAATAAAAACCCACAAGAAGATACAACTTCACTCTCACCCATCAGTAAAAATATAAAAGTCTGATTAAAAAAATTTTTGCAAGCGTTGGCAAGAATGTGGGACAATATGAACTCTCATGCTGCTGTGGAGAATAAAAATACATTCAACTGCTTTAGAAATCAGTTTGATGCCACGGAATAAATTTAAAACGGCATCATCTGTGACCAGCAATTTGTCTCCTTGGGACATACCTGAAAGCAATTCTTGCAAATGTGCAACAAAAAAAAAAAATTTTTTTTTAAATGTTTATAGAAATAATGTTTATAAAAACTGGAAACTGGAAACAGCCCCATGTACAGGCTGGGCGAGTAAAGTCTGGAATAGTCACACACTGGATTCTTACCCGGAATTGAAATTGAATGAACTACAGTGATACACATCAATTTGAATAAATCTCTCAA